TAAAAAAAAGAAAAGAAAAAACCAATCATATAGAGACAGCGATTGGAGTGGTGGTTACCAGAGGGCAAGGTGTGATGGAGCAGGGCCAAAGGGGTGATAACGCACATATGTGTGGTGATGGATTGTAATTAGTCTTTGGGTGGTGAGCATGATGTAGTCTACACAGAAATCATAATATAATGATATACACCTGAAATTTATATAATTTTATAAACCGATGTTACCACAATAAAAAAAATAAAATAAACAACAACAAAAAAGCTGGTGGTTACCTCAGGCAACAGAGATTGACCACAAACAGGTACAGGAAACTCATTGGGTCACTGGAAATGTTCTAAACCTGGACTGTGCTGATGGTTGCATAACTCTATAAATTTACTAAAAATCATTTAATTATACACTAAAAATGGATGAATTTTTAATAATATGTAAATTATGCCTCACAAAAGTATTTTTAAAAAGTAACAAGCAAGGGATAGCAAATGGTGAGCTATAAATGAAACAAGTTTGGTAACATACTGGTAATAGTTGAAGCTGGGTAATGGCTAACAAGAATTCCTCATTCTAATTCCTTCTACTTTCATACACGCTTAAAAACGTTTCATAATAAAAAGTTTTAAAAACTAACACAGGCTGGCCCCGTGGCCAAGTGGTTAAGCTTGCACACTCCGCATCAGCGGCCCAGGGTTTCACCAGTTCAGATCCTGGGCGTGAACATGGCACCACTCATCAGGCCATGCTGAGGTGGTGTCCCACATGCCACAACTAGAAGGACCCACAACTAAAAATATACAACTATGTACTGGGGGGCTTTGGGAAGAAGAAGGAAAAATTAAAAAAAAAATTAAAAATAAATAAATAAGAAAACAAACCACTCAATTTTTAAAATCAGCAAAAGATTTGAACAAACTCTTCACCAAAGAATATATACAGAGAGCAAATTAACATGAAAAATAATGCTTAACATCATTAGCTATTAGGTAAATACAAAATAAAACCAAAATGAATACGACTATAACCTTTTACACTATCTAAAATTGAAAAAACTAATCATAGCCAGTGTTGGAGAGGATGCAGAGCAACTGGTACGCTCAAATACTCCTGGTAGGAATGTAAAATGGTACACCTCTTTAGAAAAGTCTGGCAGTTACTTAAGTTAAAAATGACGTAGTCATTCTATTCCTATGTACTTACCTAGGAGAAATGAAACCATCTGTACACACACAAATGTTTATAGCAGCTTTATTTATAATATCAAAAAATAGAAACGAATGATCATCAACAGATGAATGGATAAATAAATAGTGGTATATCCATACAATGGACTACTATTCAGCAATAAAAAGAAATGAACTACTGATACATACAACAACATAGATATATTGCAAAACAATTATGCTAAATGAATGAAGACAGAGTACACACTGTATGATTCCAATCAGAGAGAATTAAATTAAAATTCTAAAAAATGCAAACTAATCTACAATGATAGACAGTAGATTAGTGGTCGCCTGAGGATGATAGGGAAAAGTGAATCAAGCAGGGGTGAGTGGAAGGGAGGGATTATAATGGGACACGAGGAAACTTTTGGAGGTTACAGACATGTTCACTATCTTCATTGTGATGAGAGTTTCACAGGTATATACATATGCCAAATCTTATCAATTTGTAAGTTGTGCAGTTTACTGTGAGTCAATTATATCTCGATAAGGCTATTGAAAAAAAAGTCAGTATAGTGGAAACTTGTGTGAGAGTGAGGGTGGTAAAGCGAGGGAACAAGAGGGATTTCCAGGGTGGTGTGAATGTTCTGTTTCTTGACCTTGGTACTAGTTATCTCAGTGTGTTCACTTTGAAATTTCACAGAACTGTACACTTAGAATCTGCTCACTTTTCTGTATACATGCTATACTTCAATTTTTTAACAGCTTATTAAAAAGAAAATGAGGTACTATAATACTTTCATCAAAATATCACTCATTTTAGAGATACCAAGTGTTGGCAAAGACGTGCAGCAACTGGAACTCTCGCACATTGCTGCTGAGAGTGCACACTGGCACACTGTGGGAAACCGGTGCATCTACTGAAGTAGAACACACACACATACTCAAAGACTCAGCAATTTTACTCCTAGATCCTAACAGAAATGCATCCATATGTCCATCAAAACACATTCATAAAACTTCTGCTTAGAAGTATTAGTCAAAATCATCCAAAACTGGAAACAACTAAAATTTTAGTAATCAGTAAACTGGAAAAGCAAATTGTGATATATAATTCAGTGGATACTACATCATAATGAAAAAGAATGAACCACTCCTACAAGCCACGACATATAGGAAGCTCAAAAACTTAATGCTGAATGAAGAAATCAGACACAGAAGAGTACATCCTACATGATGCCATTTAATTTAAGTTCAAAAACAGTCAGAAATCCAAAGGTAACAACTATTCTGATAAAAGTCATTACACTGGTTACCACTAGAAGGTATGAGTAATGAATGCATCTGGGGCCCTGGTAATAGGCTAAATCTTAATCTGGGTGTAGTTATATGACTGCGTTCACTCCACAAAAATTATCAAACTCTATACTCAAGATTTGTCCATCTTACTGCATATATGTTATATTTCAATTTAAAAATCTACATCCCAAAACTTCAACTCTACACTGAGCCAGAGAAAGAAAGAAAAAGGAAATAGTTTAAACAGCACAGCTGTTCTCTCTGACCACACCCTATCACCAATGGGGGTATGTCCTCAGACAGGGAATACAATAACAAACCTGAAATTAATCACAACACACTGGCAAATCCATAGAAAGAACATGTCAATTATTTTAGGGGTTTTTCTACTATTGTCGAGAAGTAAAAACACTGTTTGGCAACCAAAGAAGAGCATAGAGATAGCTTTGTCTACATTCTTTAGAAACAAATTGAAAAATCAATTGAGGAAAATATTGAAGAGTAAGAAGAACTGAGAAAAATCAATCTAAAAGGCAAATATGACAAATAAGAGAGTTTGCAAACTGGCTCTCCAAAAATGTGCTCAAGTGATCCAAGAAGAGACACTGGAACATTTAGATTTCTGAATATGATTATTCTGTGAGATTTTGAAACATACATTATCAGGTACCTTATACAGTTTACATACATTATTATATAGACAAAACCAGATATAACCTACTTGAAAGACATTTAAATAAATTTTTCAAAAGTAAATTTGACTGCTCCATAAAACATAATTTCACTGTACTATGTACATACATATATAGACATACATACATATATCTATACATATAAAACATAAATATATGTATGTATTTAACTGAATAAGAGATAGAAGTCTAAAGATATCATTTAGAGTTAGAAAAATAACAAAGGCATTAAAATAGTGCCAAATTATACTAGAAAGAGTAGGCTGGAAAAGAACGGCTTAGAAAGGTAATTTCTCATTTATTATAAGAAGTAATCACGCAGTGTCTAGAGTTGATAAATCAAGAATCTGTTATAAACACATTATTTAAAGATATGGAAATTATCACCAGGAGAACCAAAATAGACATCCACTTTTAATCTTTTTTCTGAGAAAGGAGACTGGAATTGGGGCAGGGGACTGCTACTTTTCATACAATTTAATGTACTATTTTACATTTTTAGTCATGAACTTACCCTATTTGATTATTAAACCTTTAAATCATGTAACAGAAGAATATATCATACAAAAATTAGTATTTTGTATTAAATTTTAAAAGTAGAACATATACTTAGATCCCAATGGAAACAGTCTAGTTAAGGTACTGCATGGAAACATATCTGTAAAGGGTATAATAACTGTCGCCATTTCACAGGTTTATTGAGGGGATTAAACCAGATAACATATGGAAAATAATCAGCAAAGTGCCTGGAACAATATAAACATTCAATAAATGTTAGCTATCATTACTAACATTTATTATATATGTATAGAATAAAGGTTCAAGACTAATATTAGAACTGATGCTATTCATTATGTAAAGTACCTGATATATAATAAGCACTCTAACTAATGACTCAATGAATGAATGAATGAGTCTCTCTAGCTTTCAAGGAACAGATAATTCTCTTCTAATTCTATCAAATAAAGACAGACAGCTACTTGGGTAACTACAACAAAAGTGGAATAAAACTAAAATCAAAACCTGACAAACGACAAAAAAAAATCACACCCCAATTTCATTTTTTATAATAAATATAACAATAGCAGCAATAGTGGTTAACATTTTCAGCATTTCCTGGGTATTAAACATAACTTCTAATGCTCTTCTGTATTCTTAAATTTTGTTACAAATACTACCCTTATAATTTTTGGGGGGGAGGGATCAATTTTAGAATTCTACTCCACAAAGAAAGTAATTGCTTACAAGGGCCAAAATTTCCAAATTACGTTAAACTGTTTTTGTACCAGGAAGGGTCGTTTTAAATCTTACATAGCCATAAAATGACATATCAACATAATTTCTTCCTGGCACATTTAGCTGTCTGGGAGCAAATATGATTCTAATTAAAATAAAAGAAAGAAATGCTTAAATTTCCCTAGAAATAGCACCACACCATCCACTGAGAGCACACCATTCTCTATCAACAGGGACCTAATGAGAAATAAATGCCTGACTGAACAAAAACAACAATTAACCTTTCATAAAACTGCAAAGAATGGGATATATAAGGGAGAATTAATACCTATACTTGTAAAATACATTCTTTATTATTTATACTTGCAAATACTTTTAAAATATTGTAAATATTATCTTTTCCCTGAAGGTTCAAAACCTTCTTTGTAATAAGGTGCAACTTAGCTCCTCATCAGAAGATTCAAATGGAGCAAAAGGGGGATCAAAGTGACAGAGGCAGAAATAAGAAGAAAAGGAGGATGCAGGGACACCAGGCTCCTCTCCGATAATCACATACGCCCATAAGCCAAAGAAGACATACACCCAGGATGGAGTCCTCCATTTCCGAGCTTACCTGCGCATACTCTCTTTCAATAGCAGCCTTCTTCTGACTGAACGTCCTAAAAACAAAAACAAAAGTTCATTACCAAAAGTATAACAATAATTTCATGTAAATTTATCAATACACCCTCAAATACTGCCTGGTAAGCTGTGTTGAGGGAAGAGACAATATTTCATTCATCTTCTGTGCCTAGGATACTGTTAACATCATAGACTCTGGAGACAACCTGCATTCAAATCCTCGCTCTACCACTTACTAACTGTATAACCTTTGTCAAGTCACTAGACTTCTCTGTGCCTCACTTTCCTCCTTGGTTAAATGAAGATACTAACAGTACCCACCCAACAGGGATAGTGTAAAATTTAGTTAATTAAAATACATACAGTGCTCAAAATAATGTCTAACACACAGTAAAAGCTACATAAATGTTAGTCTCTGATATAAGAATGGCTAGTAAATAGCAGGCACTAAAAATGTTTACTGAACTTAACCACCAACATAGAGGGAACTACAGAAAACAAGGTGAAAAATCAAATTTTGATCAGCTTCTCAACATGAAAAACAGTCAAATCATTTCCTTCGTTCCAGTCTTTTACAGGAGTTACAAAACAAAGTACAAGGCCACCACATGCTGTGGTATGATGGGAGCACCCTTTCTAGACATGTGTTATATTTCACAGATTCTAATATAAACGCTTTTCACATTTTAACACATACTGGGATTCAGCTTTCGATGATGATTGGCAGTATTTTCTTCTATATTAATAGTACATGAAACAACAGTGTACCTTACAAACCATAGGCAAAGGCAGAGTCAATGAAATATGATAATACTGACAATTTACTTTCAACAGTCTGAGATTAAAGACTTTTCTGCTATGTGCCAGGTATGTGTGCTTTTAAAAGCACTTCATTAAGGCACAGATATCAGAGCAAAAAGTGAAAATATAAAGAAAAGAGCTGGTAGAGAAAAAAAGGCAATAGGCCAAATCTCACACTTTAACAATTATTTAATCAATTATCAATTTAATCAATTAATCAATTTAATCAATTTATCAATATGACTATTCATTCCTTATATAAGAAATACAACTATTTGAGATCTTACTACATTTGTTTCGAGTGAATAACTATTATTTAGCCTTTAAAAGGAAGGAAATTCTGCCATATGCCACAGCATGGATAAACCTTGAAGACACTATGCTGAGTGAAATAAGTCAGTCACAAAAAGACAAATACTGTAGGATTCTATTTATAGGAGGTACTTAAGAGCTGTCAAAATCATACAGACAGAAAGAAGAATGGCAGTTGCCAGGGGCGGAGGAAGAGATCAGAGGAGTTATTATCTAACAGGTACAGAGGTTCAGTTTTGCAAGACGGAAAGATTCTGGGGATAGATGGTGGTGATGGCTGCACAACAATGTGAATGTACTTAGTACCACTGAACTGCACAGTTAAAAATGGTTAGCATAGTAAATTTTATGCTATGTGTATCTTACCACAATAAAAAAATGGGAAAAAAAGGAAAAAAAGTTGAGCAAGACCCTTTTCCATATGGGGTACTGCACATTATGCATTAAGCATTTAATGTAGTCCTTTAAAATACAATTAATTTATTATCCTTAAGAGAAAACACACAAACTATATATTATATATGCATATATATACACACACACATTGTATATATGCATTTGTACTATATTTTATATATAAATATACCAAAATAGTAACATAAGTTTTCTCTGGATCACGGGATTGCAGGCTTGCAACTTCTTCTTTTGCATTCTCTATTTCCTGATGTTTTAGTAGAAATATGTATTATGTTTTAAAAAAATAAAGTCCTTACGCACACTCATAAACATATGCAGATACATTTTTTACAAGTTGTTTTACTAAAACTGGACTTAGAAATTATTATGACTAGTGCTAGCAAATATGTTATCTCCCTACCCACTGTAAACATTCAGGCAAAAGAAGCTAATTAAAATGAACTAGCTTATACTTTCACCATTAAAAAGTCGAAAACTTACCTATATTATGAAGAAAGTGGTATTTTTAATATTTTATAAAAGATAAACATAAATATTTAAGCTAGTTGTTTAGTGTCCTTTTAAGTTCAGATGTAACTCATTTTGAAATAAGGACATCCAAGTGAAGTCTGTAAGAAAACTGGAACTAACTCTTTTACTCTGAACACGTGTATCACCTAATTTTAAAATTCTCAGTGTAATTTTTAGTTGTTATTAAACAATTACATGTCTCCTAAGTAATTTCTTTTTCTAAAGAAAGAAAACCAACCAAAAATCCAAGATAATAATTACTCAAAATCAACATCATCAATATTAGGAAATCTATCTATTATAATTCACCATAACAAGAGAGCAAAGCAAAAATATCTTCTGACAATCTCCATAGAAGATTAAAAAAGGATTTGCTAAAATTCAACATCTGGGTTCAGTCCACGGTTCACCAGTTTGGGTCCTGGGTGCAGACCTACACACCGTTCATCAAGCCATGCTGTGGTGGCTTCCCACACAGAAGAACTAGAAGGACTTACAACTAGGATACACAACTATGTACTGGGGCTTTGGGGAGAAAAAAGAAGAAAGGAGGAAGATTGGCAACAGATGTTAGCTCAGGGCCAATCTTCCTCACACACACAAAAAAATTCAACATCAGTTTCTCATAAAACCTCTTTAAAAATATTAATGGATGCTATAACTAAACAGATGGACAGGAACAAGTGGTGGCAAGGATGTGGAGAAATTAGAACTTTCATACAGTGCTGGTGGGAATGTAAAATGGTGCAGCTGCTTTGGAAAATAATCAGGGAGTTCCTCAAAAGGTTAAACATGAAGTTACCAGCAGTTCTATTCCTAGGTATACACCCAAGAAAACTTAAAACATGTGTTTACACAAAAACCTGTAAATGAATGTCCATAGCAGCCAAAAATGTGGAATAATAGCCAAAAAGTGGAAACAATGCAAATGTCCATCAACTGATGAATGGATAAACAAAATATGGTATATTCATATGATGGAATATTATTCAATCCCTTAAAAATCATTAAAAAAAACGAGAATGAACTACTGATCCATGCTACAATATGCATGAACCTCAAAAACACTATGCTAAGTGAAAGAAGCCAGACATAAAAGGCCATATATTATATGATTCCATTTATACAAAATGTCTAGAATGGGCAAGTCCATAAAGACGTTAAGTACATTAATGGTTGCCAAGGGTTGGGGAGTTGAGATAAGTTTGCCATTATTCCAAAAGTATTTTTCTTTTAACTAGATAAGTTGATTATAAAGTTCATATGGAAAAATGAACATTTAAGAATAAATTATAAACATTCTGAAAAGAATAGCATTTAAAAAGACCTATACTCATCAGATAGTAAAAATTAATTTTAAAAGCAATAAGTGAAACAGTTTGATAATAGAACATGGGTAAAGAGAGAAACAATGAAACATAGATTAGAAATACATCCAAATACACCTAAAAAAGATGACATTTTGATTCAAAGGGGAAAAGATGGATTATTTAATAAACTGTATTGGGGCAACTTTATAGGAAGATGCAATGTTAAGTAAACAGAAAATTTACAGAATGATGTACATAGTATACTATCTTTTCATATAAAAACGCTTACTTATATATGCTAGATCATGATGATTACAAGATTTACCAATTACAATAGCCCCTCAAATGAAAAACTGTTCTGAGTAAAAATGCCTATTGTGGTCCTCTTAAGAATCACTGTGATAGGGGCTGGCCCAATTAAGTTTGTGCACTCTGCTTCAGTGGTCCAGGGTTTTACTGGTTCAGATCCTGGGCGCGGACATGGCACCGCTCGTCAGGCCACACTGAGGGGGTGTCCCATATGCCACAACTAGAAGGACCCACAACTAAATGATATACAATTATGTACTGGGGGATTTGGGGAGAAAAAGCAGAAAAAGCAAAAAAAGAAGATTGGCAACAGTTGTTAGCGCAGGTGCCAATCTTTAAAAAAAATTAATATATACCTCCATTTAATATAGATACCTGTATACACTCACAAATACCTGAAAAACACACATGGCGGGAAGACACTCAGAGGATATGTGCGAAATTTTTACTGTTAAGGGAAAGGGGCATGGGACTCATTTTATTCTGACTCTATGATTTTTTCAATAATCGTTATTATCTTTATAATCAGAAAATATTAAAGATATAAAAGCACTAATTTTCAATCAACTCACACACATATGAAAAAGTATGTAAATTCCATATCATATAGAAAGGAATAAGAATAAATCCCTACAACAATTAATTCTTTAGTAAAATCTAATATTCTAAATAATTTTCCTAAAACAAATCTGATCAAGCAACTCTCCTGCTGATATTTCTGAAATGACTCCTCATCACTCCTGGAGTAAAAATCTAAATTCCTTTAACATGACAGAAGAGGCTGTTGACTATGAGGACTTGACTGCTAGTGCGGCTTCATCCTGTAAATTCCCCCATTCACACCGCAGGCTCCAGCTAAGTTTCTTAAAAGAACCAGTAGGTTCATGCTTTCACATTCTAGCAAATGTGGTCCTTTCTGCTGGGAATTCCCTCCCCCCATTATTTGGCCTAAGTCTTCCTCATCCTTCAAAACAGGTTAAGCATGACTTCCCCTGAGAAGTCTTCCTGAATTCCATGGTGATTTAGATATCCTTCCTCTGAGATCCTCCAGCATTTTGCAACACAGCACCTACTTCAAGTGTTTCAACTGTCTGTGAATTGACTATGGAGTTCCCTGAGAGCAATGAGTGTGCTTTATATTTATATGTGTAGCACAGTGCCTGAACACTGTAAAAGTTCAATAAATACTTGATGAATGAATGAAGGAATGGACAGAAACCATATAATCAGGTCTCAGACTCTTCATAAGTTTGAATTAAATAGCTCAGTAGGATATCTCCTGGGACGGGCAAAACAAGACCACAATCTACATCCACATGGACCAGTTAGGTTTCTGGACCTTGGTCATAGATTATATCAGTTAACACAACCATATGTGT